TTCCCTTAAAAGGAAACAAGTGCATTCCTTCTTCATTGGTAGCATTTCGTGTTAATATTTTGTATTCAGAATTTTCGGAAGCTTTTCCTAATNTACGACTAGAAAAGCTTTTGAAAATTCAGATGATTATGCTTTTGAAGCAACAGAAGCTTCAACGATTTCTTCTTCAGTTTTGCCTTCGTTCATGATTGCAGTTTGTTTTCTGATAGACTCAGCATGAACTAATTCTAAGAATTTCTCTGTAAAACCAAGGTCTAATTTAAGGGCTTTAGCAAAAGCAGTTCCTTTTTTAAGGATTTCATCCCAACGGTTAACCTGTAAGATAGTTACTTTGCTATCTCTTTTGTACTGACCGATTTTTTCAACGATAGCCATACGCTCACTTAATTTCTGAAGCATTACATCATCGATTTTATCAATCTGTTTACGCAGTTCAGCTAATTTATCGGCAAAAGCTTCATTGTTAGATTCTGGATCACGTAAACTCAATTTAGCGATCAGTTCTTCTAAAGCAGCAGGAGTAACCTGTTGTTTAGCGTCAGTCCATGCTACAGAAGGGTCGATATGTGACTCGATCATTAATCCTTGCATATCAAGGTCTAATGCTTTTTGAGAGATATAAGGAATTAATTCGCGATTTCCGCAGATATGAGAAGGATCATTAATGATTGGTAATTCAGGGCAAAGCGTTTTCAACTGAATCGCAAGTTCCCACATGGGTTCGTTACGGAAAGAGCTTTTCTCATAAGAAGAGAAACCACGGTGAATTGCACCTAATTTAGTGATACCTGCATTGTTGATACGTTCTAAAGCACCAATCCATAGCGAAATATCAGGATTTACAGGGTTTTTAATTAATACCGGGATGTCAACACCTTTTAAAGCGTCAGCAATTTCCTGTACTGTGAAAGGGTTTGCAGTTGATCTCGCGCCGATCCATAAGATATCTACGCCCGCTGCCAATGCTTCTTCCACATGTTTAGCGTTTGCTACTTCTACAGCTGTAGGTAATCCAGTTTCAGCTTTGGCTTTTTTCAACCATTCCAGACCGATACTTCCGATTCCTTCGAATTCTCCGGGACGGGTACGTGGTTTCCAGATTCCAGCTCTTAATACAGATACTTTACCAGTTGCAGCTAATAAATGTGCAGTAGATAACAGTTGATCTTCAGTTTCTGCGCTACATGGTCCAGAGATGATAAGCGGCTCGTTTTTGACGTTGATCCAGCTCGATAATGGCTGAATGTTTAAGTTTAATTTCATGATGAGGGGGATTTAATGTGTGTGGTATGTTTTAAATATTTTAAATGCTGTATTTGTTGTGTTAAACGATATCGTTCTTTAGATATACGCCCATGATATTAAAGTTTACTGTGTATTTCAGTGCTTTACGGATTGCGATATCATATTTTTCGCTTTCTGTCCATTCCATATCGACATAGAAATAATACTCATTTCTTTTACCTAAAACAGGCATAGACTGGATCTTGCTTAAATTCACATTTTGCTCTGCGAAGATGTTCAGCACTTTCGAAAGTGCACCTACATGGTTACCAACCTGGAAACAGATGGAGGATTTATTAATTTCAGTCAAATCTTCAGTTTTATCGTTTTGAAGGATCAGGAAACGGGTGTAATTCTTTTTATTCGATTCAATTCTTCTTTCTATAATGTTCAGGCCATAAAGCTCGGCCGCCAGTGTGTTTGCAATCGCAACAGTATCAGTCAATTGCTCGTCTCTGATCTTTTTTGCGCAAGCGGCTGTATCTACACTTTCGACTACTTTTAAGTGTGGAAATTCGTCAAAGAAATCAATGCACTGACGAATAGCAATAGGGTGGGAGGTTACATATTTTACGTCTTCCAATTTCACGCCTGGCAGGGCCATTAAATGCAATTGTATAGGAAGATAAACCTCTCCGGTCACTGCAAAATTATATTCTCTGATCAGGGTGTAATTTGGTAAAAGGCTACCAGCAATAGAGTTTTCGATAGCCATCACTACATAGTCAACCTCCCGTGCTTCAAGCACT